ACAATTTACACAGAACTTTATACAAATAAGCTGAGCATATGAAACTACAAAAGAATAATTTAAAATATTAATTTTGTGTAGCCACACAACAAACCTATTCCAATCTATAAACGTCTAAAAAACGTCACTGTGCAGTCAAAAGATAGAATATAAAAATACTATTTTCTACATTTCTGAATCCAAATTAGTAATTCACTAATTAAGAAGATTATGAGGACACAACTTTCTGCGTACAAGGTTTTTTTTATCGCGATACATTGTATATTTAATCACAATGATTTATCCTTCAAGCATAAAAAAATACGCTAAACTTGTTTTAACGTATTTATAAACAGCTTACAATTTCGATTATTTTTTAAACTTTCCCATCCCGGGGAAATAGTAAGCTCTAAGATTTAGATATTTTTAAAATGTGTTATCTTGCTATTTCCCAGAAACTGTAGACGTTGATGTGAGTTCATATGTTTTTCAACAGATGAGGAATTTGTCAAAATATCGAAAGGTTCCGAATCTGATGGAACCTTCACTATTGAAGGCGCAACTCAAAATGATGCTGGACTTTATATATGCGAAGTGACCAATGGCATCGGAGAAGATTTAAGAAAAACGGTCAGACTTTCAATAAGAGGTACAGACTGTGGGGTTATATTCTTTCAGATTACCATGTGATGATAAATATGCTTCTGATCAATCATTAAAGAATATTAACGTGTCTGGTTTCATGGTTGTATCTCACTAACTTAGGTTATAGTGTTATTGTCTACAGGATCCTTAATGTACATTAAGTCTAAACGCATTGTGCTTTATCGTAATCTGTTTACCAAGGATGTCCGTTTATTATTGCTTAAATACAAAGACGACAACAACATGCATTTCAGTTTATTCGCTATTGTTAAGAAACACTGATCGTTCTTAAAAATCTGTGACACAGCTTGAGAAAGGATCAGTCAGATTCCACTCTGAAGATAAGTAACTGAAGAAAGAGGTGGAAACTTTCTAGTCTGAAAAGAAAAATGGAGCGAAGACGTAGAAAAAATAATGACGATCTTAAAAAATCTTATGCTTAAAGGGAATAATTGTTGGTGAAACTTTCATAGACACTTGGAGCAGTTATCGTAATAGATACCTAATGGAAGAATTTCAGTAAAATACTATTAGTAATTTCGCAAAATTCCATGATTTTTAAACTTATCAATACGTGGCGCTTTCGTTGTGCAATGAACTAGGGCTTGGTTATGTTGCACTAAACACGCCATTTTGAGCTTGGCTTGGCAAAGAGAAAACACATCACTTTTTCACTTCCACTGATGAATTTATTTCAATCTCGTGTGTGACGATGTATTGTTAAAAAGAATTATCACGCTTAAATCGAAAATGTCATACATTTGCATGAATGCTTTATGAAAAGGTTAAGAATTTATTGGACTTCATGTTGAGGTTTTTTGGAAAGGAGTTTCCCACGTCATTCATCGTGAGAAGAGCATCGCTGGAGTTGGTCTTTGTACTTACAGCTTTGAATCTCTACGTTACAGTAAATGCAGAAGGTGAGATTTTTTTCTATTGTAATTGTTGTTAAATCAATCTTAATCATTTTTGGCTACCTAATATTAGTTAAATACTAATTTAAATGTTATAAAATGTATCTGTGATAATGGTATATAATCACTCAGACTATATATGCTGACAGATACTGCATTTTTTAATGTTTATGACTATTATTTGTGAATTTGCTTAGGATTTTATAATATATGTAAATATTGTAAAATTTTTGCCCTTGCTGTGAGCAGTATTGCTTACAATGTATTGTGAATTTCAGTAATAAATTTCAATTTAACCAAAGCTTATTAAGCACACTTAACTTACTGTATCATATTCTAGCAAATGTACGAATTCAACCATTCACCTTTCCCCAAAAAGTTGAAGAGGGAGAACAAGTACAGATCACGTGTGGTGTTAAAGCCGGAGATGATCCAATTGAATTTTCTTGGTTTAAAGACAATAAAATTCTCCAAACCGGGAATATTTGGACCATACATAACCATGCTCGTGTTTCTTTACTTATAATTAATGACGTAAAGGTGACAGCTTCAGGGAACTACACTTGTTTGGCCAAGAACAAGTATGGGGAAGAAGGTTTTACCTCCGAACTTCGAGTTAAAGGTAATGTAATGCATGTTTTCTAAAGAGACAGTTAAGTGCTCCTGTCCTATGAAATAGTCCATAACCACTAAGTATTCTGCTAGATGCTAATATTAACAAGCAGTATGTTTTTTCGTCAATCCTTTATTTTTGAAAAGATAAATAGCATTATATATACTTAATTTCAGCTTTTGTGTTTTATTATATTGTATACGTGTATGTAATAAATGGGCAACATCCCGGTTTCTAGAAGTTGAAGTATCGTATATCTATTTGCTTATAGGCCCACCTCAATGGAAGAATAAACCCAAAAACCAAGTTGCCAACAATGGAGAAACTGTTGTTTTCAGTTGTACCGCATACGGTTTTCCAACGCCAAATATTCAATGGTGGAGAATTATTGGTTGGTACAAACTGTCTTATTAACGTGGACTTTACGATAATCCATAAAATGCATGTTTAATAAAACCTTATACATGATTCTTACTTGTTCATATTTTTCCTTTGTGTACAAACAAGAATCGTCTATTTTTCCAATATATTTCACACTTTGCCAGAGATAGTGTGTACTTAGTTTATTGAATAGATACAAAAGTGCAATTATAGTTTCATTATAGTCTTCTAATTTTGTACAGAAAACGAAAAGGTTCTTCCTTTATCATCCTCCGGCCAACCTCTTAAAGATAATGGAGGCGTACTTATCATTGAAGAACTTACTGAAGCTGATGATGGACTCTTCAGATGTGACGTATCTAACGGCATTGGAGATTTATCTGCTGTTGTAACTCTAAAGGTTAAAGGTATAAGTAGACAAGAAATTACAGCCTAAGTTAGTTAAGATTAAATAATTGTGTCCTTCGTGTGTATTGGACGAAGTACACGAAGGCGAGAAAAACGTACCTGTAATATGGAGTTTAATATTTATTTATCAATTCATTATTAAAATTTCTTACTCTTTAGACCCTTACCAAATTTGTGATGACTTTTTGTTTCATTCTTCTAAAGCATTGGTTTTAAAAAGTATCCTACACATTCTATTTAATCTTCTGTTCCCGGTGACTCAACTGTAAGCTTGAGATTTTATAAATCTGAAGTATGGGGCTTGAATTTCCACAGCACAGCTAGCCTATTGCGTAGCCTTGCGCTTAACAACAAACAAGCTTTATTCTTCTTTCCATTGAAATAAAAATCACAACAAAGAAAAAAGGTTTGATAGATCATCTTCTAGGGCCTAGTGTTTAAGACTCTCAATCTACGAGTTCGAATTTCTTCACTGAATATGCACGCCCTTTCATCCGTGGGGCTTTAATAATGTGACGATCAATTCCATTATTCGTTGGTAAAAAAGTAGCCCAAGAGTCGGCGGTGGGCGGTGTTGTCTAGCTGCCTTCCATATAGTTTATCGTTTCAAAATTAGGGACGGCTACCACAGATAGGCTTCGATTAGCTTTGCGCGAAATTCAAAAAAACATCTTCTAGGAAACGCGTTGACTTCACTTATGTTGTACTTGAGGGAAATCAATCATCAGAAAAACATCAGTACTTTTTATGATGAAAGGTTTAGGGAAAGTGTTATTCATTAAACATGCCGGACATTCAGCAAAGTGTTCTTCATTAAACATGCCGGACATTCAGCAAAGTGTTCTTCATTAAACATTCCAGACATTCAGCAAAGTGTTTTTCATTAAACATTCCGGATATTCAGCAAAGTGTTTTTCATTAAACATTCCGGATATTCAGCAAAGTGTTTTTCATTAAACATGCCAGACATTCAGCTTCTCAAATTAACAATATTTTTGTTAGACATTTGTCTTGACCTTTTATTATTACCGTCTACTAAGCTATCAACTTAAAATTGTCTTTTCACTTTAAAGCATTTGAAATTTTATTCACGTTTATTGGAATCTGGATCTGGAATCTGTTCGCATACCCCGAAAGAGTTGATGTATTTATAGGTTATGTGGTACGTCTTAAAGATACAACTGTTATCATAGGGTATCTTTAAGGAGTGCCACACAACCTAAGATAATACTAGTATCTTTAAGGAGTGCCACACAACCTAAGATAATACTAGTATCTTTAAGGAGTGCCACACAACCTAAGATAATACTTGTATCTTTAAGGAGTGCCACACTATAGTATTATCTTAGGTTGTGTGGCACTCCTTAAATACGCTAGTATTATCTTAGGTTGTGTGGCACTACATAAAGATACGAGTATTATCAGCCATGGAAAACTAAAGGTGTAATATCAATGAAGTGTGTAAAGAAACTGAAAGAAATTGCTTGGTATGTTACTTTTCTATAATTTTCTTTTTCATAAGTGCTGTTTCCAACGTACTCTTGTGTTACCGAATTTTAAACTACTATATTTCATCTTTAACACTTGTAACCAATATAATCCTTAAAAAACTGGTATATAACTAATTATAGTCAATAAAACGTTTTCGAAACTACACCTGTTAAGTTCAATGAACTTGGTGTAGATGAAGTTATTACAGTTAGCTTCATCGTGCATGTGTTTGAACTACTCGGGAATTTAATTGGGATCTTGTTGCGTTATTCTAAGGCCACATTGAATGTTGGTGTTTTAAACATATCAAATGTGTTGTCCCTTAGAGGTATAATCAAAGTAATTATGATTTTTAAATAGATTGAATCTCTATAGGCATTCTGTGTTTTTGTTGCCTCTGAAGCTTGCACCAGTAATGCATTTGCATAAACACTTCAAAGTAAATAGTTTATTTTGCTCTACTTGTGATAGAATAATATCACCATTATTCAGATTTTATCAATTTTTATACAGTTCGTTACCTACAAATACTCCACTTAGTAAAACAACTTCAACTGGACAGAGTAAAGTTTTTCGGGCGGCTTCAATTTATGACCTTATTGTGTAAGATGTATTCTTGATTCTTTGTGTGGTAATTTTTTTCATGTATCAGAGTAAAATTTGTCGGGCGGCTTCAATTTATGACCTCATTGTGTAAGATGCAATTTTGATTCTTTGTGTAGTAACTTTTTTCATGTATCAGAGTAAAATTTGTCGGACAGCTTCAATTTATGACCTCATTGTGTAAGATGTAATTTTGATTCTTTGTGTAGTAACTTTTTTCATGTATCAGGTCATGGAAGTGTGTTTGATATATTTAAATTGTGTGGATCGAATTTGTAAAAGCATTGTATTAAACATTCCTTAAGGAATTAATTATTTTCCTCGTAGAATTTTAAACCACACTAACGTCATTTCACATCTTCGATAATTAAATACAAGTTGAATGAACTTTTACGTATTTGTCTCAGGTTGTTGTTAATTTACGAACATATTCTATGAATTATGAGACTTTTTAGTATAAACTTAAACCCTAAGCCTTCTTGTTTCACATCTTCCAACAGACCATTCTTGATTGAAATCTTAACCCCAATTACCGACATTGAGCTCAAATTCAGGTCTGGAATAATCGAACTGGGATTTTGTACCATCAGATATGAAGTATTCTCGATATTTTATTACTGAAGATAATACTTTTTGAGATATTTTAATGTATTCCAATTTTCTTCAATACGCGGCGCTACAATAGCATACTCTGCTTTTCTCATCAGACAATCCTGTTGTTGGAGAATACGACGCCATTTTATCAATGGGTCACTTGATCTGAAAGTCATTTTAGTTGTCGACATGCTCTTTAGAATATGGCGTTTGTACTTTGCTAGCTTAGACAAATATAGAAAAGATGATTTGTGTCAGAGACACAAATAGATTTTAATAGGTGATCAAACAGAGCCTGAATAGCTCTGCATAATTTTCTTTTTCTGAATTTCGCCACTGTCGTGTGCTACACTTATCATGAAGTATTCCACATTCGCAGTGACGAGTGGATTGCCCGTTTCAATACTGTTCCCTTTCTTCCTTCTCGTGAGCTGGTCTTCTTCTGAAGGTAATTATAGGCTCATATATTTTTTTAGTTGACAATTCCTCATAGAACAATTAATTTTTCTATAGGATAACAATTGTAAAATGCTCATAGAAAAATCGTAATTTTATGTATAATGTTTATTAACTTATCATATACACTTGTAAACCAAGCATTTTATTTCAAACCTTACCTTTCACCGTTCCTGGAGTTTTAAGTTTCAAAAGTTTTAAGTACATATGTATATAATCATACTTTTTCTTCCTTATTTCTGAAAAGTTTTCATAACTATAAAGCTTTCTTTATGGATGTAACACTTTAGATGAAAATGCAGTTTCTTTTGCTTTATCTTCCAGAAACTGTTAAAATTCGTCCATTTAGTTTTCCCGAAGGTGTAGAAGAAGGCGAAGAAGTACAAGTAGTTTGTGGATTAAAAGAAAGGGACGGAAATGTAAAATTTTCATGGGTGAAAGACGGTTTAATATTAAAGTCTCGAGAAGGATTTAACATTCATTCTACTGATAAGTTTTCTGTTCTTACCGTGACAAATGTCCACAGCATAGAATCAGGAAATTACACCTGTAAGGCCGAAAATTCAGCGGGAAGAGATATCTACACAGCCGAGCTCCTAGTTAAAGGTAAAGTTTTATGTTTTCCTGAAAATACCACTCGACATATTTTTTACTATTTTGTGATTGGTTAATATTCCATATCTTTAAATTTTCATGTAACTAAAATAGTGTTCATCATAATGTGTTTCTTTCAATATGATTATGTTAATAAAATGCACTAAGATGCTTATGTGATCCCAGCACTTTCAAGCATTTTTATCCTACTATATTTGTGTTAATTTTGTTTAAAAAATTTGCAATATATCTAATACATTTGGATAAAAAGAGAAATGTTGTAAGAGATAAAGTTTGATCTAAAATAATAAATCACAAACGTACATAAACTTCGGTGGTGTTGTTGTTGGATCTAAAGTGTACTGAGCAACTATTTCTAGGTCTGGGAGGTTTTTCTCTAAATAACTTAGGTTTGTCGAAATGTTTTCATTCATAAACATACACGTGCATGTTTGATATTAGAATTTTATTTTATATTAGGATTTATTGACCCACCTTTTTGTAGGACCTCCATCGTGGCATTTGAAGCCATCAGACACCTCTGTTAATCTTGGTGACACTGTAAGGATTCCGTGTAGAACATTTGGTTTTCCAACTCCAAGAATAACGTGGACGAACGAGAACGGTAAGGAATAACTTAATATTCCAAATTAAAACTTATTTTTAGCTTGCTTTTTTTTTTTGTTAACCATTCCCTCATTCTAAATAGAATACATTTATGATCTTAAAATTCACATTTTGCTCCATAGGTGGCATTTGGAAAGAAATACCTGGGAATACAATTCCAAATCGAGTTTATGTTCTCGATGGTACACTTGTCATGGAAACTGTTAAAGAAGAAGACAACGGTCTCTATGCTTGTAAATCCTGGAATGGCATCGGTGAAGAATTACAGAAGACAATACGACTAAATACAATAGGTGAATTTGAATAAAAATAATATGGGTTACAATTATTTGTTTCAGAGTTTTTGTGACCTGTTTTGCTTATTGAAATAAATAAATTTTTACGCACACGAACAAACTTGAATGTTCAAATGCCTATTTCATTCAACATATTTCTTTACAATTACATTTTAATACCACTCAACTATGTGTTCATTTGAAGAGATGTTTTTAAACAAGTAGTTTAATGTCCAGTTTGCATTGTGCCATCCGCTCTCAAAGGGCACAAGTGAAATATACAAGTTATTTAAATGCACATTAAATGCTGACTTAGAAGAGTCGAGTTCCAATTCGAGTATCCGTACGCTTAATAGTTTGTGGTTTCACTTTTTGTACAAAAAACATTGTTTGCAAATATAACTAAATATGAAAAATAATTTTCGACGCTGCATGGCGCTAGTACAAAGCTTTGCGGAAAAGCCTTCGCGAACAGTCGCTCGCCATCTTCAGAAATTCTAACTCTGGCATCTTTTTGGATTCGCCTCTTCGTAGAGACTTGAACGACTTTATATACTATTTTCTTAACAATAATAATGGGAGTTAGCCTAGCCTGGGGATGACAAAAATTCAGATACTAAGAATATTTTTTATGTTTTAAATTTGAAAGAACGTATTAGGTGGAATGAGAAAAAGAACAAAGATGGTTCTTTGGGTGTATCACTGTTTTTCTAATGTCTGCTGTGGTCGAGATTTGCTGGTTCTCATCTACATCTTCAGCCTGTTCGTCACTATTTCAACTACAGGTAAGCTCTCGTCGGTTGTTCCCCTACCTAGATATTTTTATGTAATCATATTCTAGGGGTTTGAAATCTTAATTCAACTGAACTTTCTAAACACATTAAATATTATCGATATGTTATTTGTAAGAGCTACAAATACTGAATAAATTAACCAGACTTTGTTCTATGTGAATAGTCAGATGCTTTATTTCACGTTTATAAGTTAAACTGCGTATTTGTTTGTAAATTTTAATGTTATCTGAAATACAGGGACACTGAATATCCAGCCATTTCAGTTTCCCACAAACCCAACCGAACGGACCAACATTCAAGTAATGTGTGGGTTAGAACGGGGGGACTTGCCAGTGAACTTCCAGTGGTTAAAAAACGACATCGTGATCACCAAAGGAAGTGTTTATGATATCTTGTCATCTTCAAGTGTTTCTGTTTTAACTGTTAAAAACGTGACAGTGAAAAGTTCGGGAAATTATACGTGTAGTGCTCGAAGTCCAAGCGGAGTAGATCTTTTCACAGCCGAGTTACTGGTTAGGGGTAAGTAAAAGTAGTGTTGAATATGAAACTAGTATTCGTAAGGTTGTTTTTTGTGCTTTTTTAATCTTGTGGTTATTATTCGGTAATGGATGCCCATAAAATGTATAATGATAATCTTCAGTCTCGTGTTTTAATAGTCAATACTTTAATGATGATAATCTTCAGTCTCGTGTTTTAATAGTCAATACTTTAATGATGATAATCTTCAGTCTCGTGTTTTAATAGTCAATACTTTAATGATGATAATCTACAGTCTCGTGTTTTAATAGTCAATACTTTAATGATGATAATCTTCAGTCTCTTGTTTTAACAGTCAATACTTTAATGATGATAATCTTCACTCTCGTGTTTTAATAGTCAATACTTTAATATTTATATTCTTTATGGCGCCAGCTTTATAGTATAATACGAAAGTTTGGAATTTGAATGGATAAATTTTATGCAATACGCAAATACTTTTAACTGAATTAATCTGAGTTGAAGTTTGTCTATCCCAGCTGTTACATTTGTTTTGTCTTAACACATTGATGATCTGATTGTTATGACCAAATAAACATAAAGAACACGGACCTCTGTGGACAATATACATTTAGTAATATGTAAATTTTCTTGATAGGTGCTCATAACTGTAGGCAGATTTCTACATTATGGTACCATTTCTGAGACGGACAATAATTTTTCAAACTTTGCTTTGCTACATCCGAAACTTTGCCAGGCTATTTTGATGCGAATTTTTTATATTTTATTTTACACGCCGTGGCGGCAAAAGGAAGCTAAAACTTAAGAATTTTTAGAAACTTCATTAAATGGCTCCATGTCAGTAATGTTGGACAATCTTGTTTACAGAAGAGTGTAACCGTAATTATCGTACTTCTAAATATTCATTATCATTGTCTCCTCTAGTAGAATGCATTTGATACGATATAGGTACTATTCCAATAATAAGCAACTTGCATATAAAATTAGCTCATTTATAAACTTATAATAATTTATAAGGTTTATTGATTAAATATTTACCCGTAACTATGTGATATAATGAACAGCAACGAGACACAAACTGATACCCGCAGAAAAAAAATCGTTGAATATTTAACATAATCCAAAACACGTGTAGATTAAGGTCCAAATTAGTCACCATGGCGTCCACTTGCTTTGCAGTTCATATACTAAAGTGCTTGAGAGCTGCAGTATAAACTTCATAAGACACTTTTGTGAAATTAATTCGAATATGCACTGTGATTATTAAAAAGCTGCTCCCCGGATAGTGTTTCGTTGATAATTATTGAATCTGGCAGTGACTGAGCATTATCAGTTATTGGTTTGTGCAAGAATTTACAAATTGTGTTGAGATGTAAACTGGACTGTTTGACTTTTAAATCAGAAATAGCTTAAAACGTGTCTTTTGATATTGTACATCCACAGACCTCTGCATAAACTAAATATGTTAATAAAGAGAAGATAATAGCAACTATCTGTTAATGCAATAAAAGTGTGATGGAGATGACGTACACAACTATCTCTTAGTGTGATGGAGATGACGTACATAACTATCTCTTAGTGTGATGGAGATGACGTACATAACTATCTCTTAGTGTGATGGAGATGACGTACATAAGTATCTCTTAGATGTGATGGAGATGACGTACATAACTATATCTTAGTGTGATGGAGATGACGTACACAACTATCTTTTAGATGTGATGGAGATGACGTACATAACTATCACTTAGATGTGATGGAGATGACGTACACAACTATCTCTTAGTGTGATAGAGATGACGTACACAACTATCTTTTAGATGTGATGGAGATGACGTACATAACTATCACTTATATGTGATGGAGATGACGTACATAACTATCACTTATATGTGATGGAGATGACGTACACAACTATCTCTTAGTGTGATGGAGATGACGTACACAACTATCTTTTAGATGTGATGGAGATGACGTACATAAGTATCTCTTAGTGTGATGGAGATGACGTACATAACTATATTTTAGATGTGATGGAGATGACGTACACAACTATCTCTTAGTGTGATGGAGATAACGTACATAACTATCTTTTAGATGTGATGGAGATAACGTACATAACCATCTTTAAGATGTGATGGAGATGACGTACACAACTGTCTTTTAGTGTGATGGAGATGACGTACATAACTATATCTTAGTGTGATGGAGATGACGTACATAACTATATTTTAATGTGATGAGTAATATCAAACGGTAGAGTATAATTTTATGTTGAACTTTTCTTTCATAACTTTTATGTTGTTTATATTGGAAAGGTAGAGAAAGCAAAAATTTGTAAAAAATATCATTATCAAATTAAACTAGTACTATTACTCGAAATGGTGTATTTAAGTGTTTTACACTCAC